GGATTTTCTATCTACCTACATTAGTAACATTTGTTTTATTTATAATATACCTTGAAACATTCATCATTTTCAAATGGCAAATCAAAGATTTGATCAATAATTCACCATTCTTTCCATAGGGGGACCAGCTGGGCCTGATTCCACTCTGCTATCTAGGCCCACATTTTTGCATTATGAATTTGTGCTTAAAATGTATCTTAACCCCAAACAATAAAATATATTGCAGCTTACCAGTCCTTAGCTTTCTTTTTTCCCTTTCTTTTTACTTGGTAACCCTTCAAATAACACATTTTCTGTCCCTGGGTGGGTACACTCAAAGGCAGTGACAAGGATACTGGATTTAATGTCATACTCAGGCCAGCATGCCAAGCACCCTAATGAAACCACAGGCTAACAACCTGGCAGTAATTTGACCTCAAGTTATGTGCAGACGTATTAAAAAAAACAGTAAACTAGTTACAGAAGCAGGGGGATGAGAATTCTGGGAAATCCTTTGTGCAATCAAGACTGTTGCCACAGCTGCACAAACAATATAAATATGATTTATGCCAATAATTATAGAAAATCGTGATTTGGAAAAGAGTTTTTTAATAACTATTACAAAATTGCTTTTATAGCATTCATATCAACAATAAAAAAGTATTTTTTTAATTTAATGCTAAAAACAGCAATGCAAGTGCACACCAGGTATCTTCTCCAAGGAAGCACAGCAAAACTACATAATATATTAATAAGGACATTGACATCTGCTAGTGGAATTGAGCACCAAATATCATGCAATCACAAACATATGGCTTTCCAATATATATTTTTGGATTTAAGGTTGAGTAATAGAATATCATATACTAAATTAAAACGAAATAGAGATTTTTCATCTGAAGGCAACATGGATTCTGGCAGTGGCTGCTATGTGATGGAAGAATCTTAAAGGTCAAGAAATTGGTATCCAATCATTTTTTTGCCCAGTAACAGGACTAAAAAGTTCCTAGAGATCAATCTATTGCAGGCACTAACTGCAGAATTTGGAACCATTGACTTGAGAAAAAAAAGGGGATATGGCTGTAACCTTTAAATACACCTATAGCTTCTTTTTTGGGATACTCAGTCAAAAAGGTTAAAAGAATGGGAAAAAAAAGGGCAGGCTTAACAGACCACTTGTTTTTTTTTTTTGCCAACAATCTTCTATGTTTTTTGATAGCAAAGATTTTTATTAACGTTTTACAAAATACAAATATAATGTAGATAAGTTCCATAAATGCATAACAGTGTAGCAGCCACTTAGGAAATGCTAATGGAAGGTATGAAAATTAACCATAGCAGCAAATTGTATGTGAACTTCATGCAAGGGAAAAGGAGGAAAAGAGAAGAGAGAAAGAAGAGCGGAAAATCAGACTAAAGAGGATAGGGAAAAGAAAGAAAAAACTAAGGTGAAGTGGGGTACACCCGATGACACCGGGGGTCCATACAGTTCAGAGGAAGGAATCTGGAAGAAACCAGATACCATCTCCTGAGGGACTTAAACGGAGTCTCCAACAAAGTTATATTAATATTGAAAGTAGCCACCATTGTCCAAATATGTTGCCAATCAGACTTGGACGCTTTAAGATCTTCTTTTTGTGAGGTAGAATATTGGGAAGAAGTGACGAAACTCAATGGCTGAGTTGTAGGTATCTAAAATATTCAGAAAGCGGGGCTTGTAATCTATCTCTGAATTGGGTCCAGTCACGGATCGACCCATTGTCCAAAAGTTGATGCAAACAGGTAATGTTATGGGAAGACTACCAAGTGAAGGCAGTAAGTGATTCAAGACCCCGGGGGTAAATGAGGGGTTTTCCAGGATAGGGAGCAAAGGCAAATGTGGGGATTGCAATTTGCTATGTATGTGTGCTATCTAGTATTATCCCAAATGTTGAGGGTTTGGGGGTAGGAGATGACTCATAGTCGTAGGACAGGAACATGATGATAACTACCACTCTTCTATGTTTTATAGTGAAGCAACTTTACTGTAGAGCAGGTCCACCATGTATGGAGGTTTATAGCTCAAACCCTTTATGGAAACAAAGTAAATATACCCTGTGTATGATTTTAAGGAAGGCTTTCATAATTGTGGTCTGGTAGCTTCCTTTCCTTAGGTTGGTGCAGCAGTGATGCCATCTGGGAAACAAAATGTTTATTTTATCTTTATTGCATTGATTTATGGTTAAACACAGGAAACAACCCTTTATATGACAGAAAAATGCAAAAGGTGTGCAAGAAGTAATCTGCGCACAAATTAGAACTGATCTTAGAAAATGAAAGACATCATAAATTTGCTTTGATGTCATGACATACTGATACTGTATGTACAAGTTGTATACAGTATGTCTCCAAGTGCCTTTTATAAAGAATTTACAAAAAAAAGAGGGACAATCTGCTCCACAGTATTTTAGTTTAGTTAGCCCATTATTAAGCCAGCAAGAGATGTAGCCAATCTAGGGGGTAATGCTGAACTGTAACAAATCTCTAGTATAGGAAAACGGCACGATTTGGAGGTTGAGAGGAAACCTGGTCTTTCCCACTTGGCATGGCAAGCACACTAGTTCCTTGCTTTATATAAGTTGATATTTAAACACCAAAATAAAACAAATAGATTAGTAAGAACTAATAGATCAGATTCTAAGGTCTATAATAGGAAAATCTTGTGGACATTTTTAGAGTAATGCCAGTTACGCAACATTATAACATTTCATAAGATCTGGGACAGAGAGAGCTGCTACAGAAAATATATTTCTGGGAATTCTTGTTTTTTTTATTCCTCAATATAAAGGGCTATAATCGTTTATGGGATGCAATTTAGTTCTATACTAATATAATGAATCAAGGGTCCTAATGTTGCTTACAAGAGACCCAGGGACAGAACGACTACCTATTATTATTACACACACAGGTGTGAGCAGCTGACAAGGGATTTTAGTGTATTTAGTAATTCCACTAAATCAAGCTAATATCACATTTAAGTAAAGTGGTTTGCAGTTGTTTTGTTTCCTGAAATACTTACATGACCTCAATTCCAACAAGACAATGCGTCCTGGCCACGGTGCTCGTATTGTGTAGGAGTGGTTTTAAGAACATGAGGGAGAATTTACCTTGCTTAGGTGGCCCGCACAATCGCCAGATCTCAATCCAATTGAGCATTTGAGGGACAAAGTTGAAAGAGCCGTCAGGCAGCTGGTTCCACAACTATCAAATCTCACAGAACTGGACAGTGCTATTCATCAGGCATGGTGTCAGATTCCTCGCATCACCTTTCAACATCTCATGGAGTCAATGCCAAGAAGAATGGCCGCAGTATTGAAGACAAAAGGTTGCCCAACGAAGTACTGATGGGGTGGTCATAATAATCTGGCCACTCAGTGTATATATAGATATACTGTATATATCTAGATATATATATATAAACACACAAGTTTTTGCTTCTTTAATAGACACCATACAACCAAACCACACACTAAATTATAATGTGCACCACCTTTTAGACTAGAAGTTCCAAAACAGAGCTCACGAGTCAAGAAAACATCCACTCAGTCAAGTTAATAAAACACTTCATGGAATATAAAGGCTATAATTTATGATCAGAGAAACATAAATTATAACTAAGCGTGGCTATTAATGATTGCACAAGCACAGCTCTAAACAGTGCAAAACACCCTTATTGTACAATACCATTACTACAACAACAGCAGTCCACATTTGGAATTTGCTGCAATCTGAATGCTTTTAATTTTCAATGGATCAATGTACACAAGTCATATGTTTTCTCATTGCTTTTGAAAACTTCAGTCAGAACGTTTATCAGTTAAGATATTAATAATTTTGAATGGTTAGCCAATTGCTTTTGGCTAAACAGACAGCTTATAGTAATATATAAAACAGTCACTACTTCCGCCTTTCCTATCCTTTGAGCTGTTTTGACCACTTTGCATTTAGTTAAAACAAAGAATAAAATAGGTGCACATATATAAAGAATCAACTGAATGGTTGAAGTTCAGATTACTTATGTAATATTCGACACACTTGGTGGCTCAGTGCTGTGGTAGATCAGTCTTGCGGAGTGAGAGAGATAATAGGGCTGAGTTAGTAAAAGTGCATCATGCCACCCAAGTCTATTTGCTTCAAATTGTCTAAGTTAGTAGAAACTTACATTTCATTTTTAATATTTTATTCTAAGTTTATACTAACAAAAACAACAACAAAAACTACACATACCGACCCTTGCAAATATCTGGTTGTGCCTTTAGATAATCTTCACAGGGCCTCAGAATCCCCAAAACCCAGGGAACACATAGAAGCTACAGCATCAAGTTTGCCAACAAGAAGGTAAGAGGGCAAGAGACGGCAAGTCAGAAGAGCAATTAGGAAGTTGTGGTTGCTGTTTGCTGTCTGTGTTATAGGTGGAAGTATCAAGAGCCATTTTGGCACATAGGACCATCTTCAAATTTTCTCTTTAAATTTCCTGACTGGGTATTTGAAGCCAATCCAAATTCATAGGGTGAAAAGCTCACATGGCCTCCCCAGTTAACTGTTCCACAGCAGGCTCTCTAAATAATCATTCAATACCAGCCTCTCCAGTTAAGCATTCCATAGCAGAAGCTCAAGAAAATAATAATTTTCAAACTTTCAGTGATAGGTTAAACCCTCAAAGTTTTCAACAAGTCTTGCAGTCTTCTATAAATTAGTAATAACTATTAAAGAAGCCATGGATGAACCCACCTTAGCACTGTTTGAACTATTTGGCTTTTCGGCAAAAAAAAAACCCATTTGGCTGCTTCGTAAATAAAAAAAAAAAAGAAAAGTTTATTCTTTTTTAAATAGTCATTTCTGTTTAGAAACGTGGTGTAAGAAACAACAATAAAAACCATGTTACAAAATTAAGCCAACAATGATTTCATGATTTTCACAAAATGTCACCATTATTTGTAAACGCACATATAGGCAAATGTGTGCAAAGTGTAAAAAATTACCTCTCTCTCATCCATATTGAGCCACTGTTTGGGGTCATTTTCAGTTGCTAAGAAAGCAATTAAATCAATAGCTGTAAGCCGAGTCTGACGTCTGGATGACACAAAGATGAGCACAGGTTTTGCAGGTGAATGGCTTCGTATAGCTGTAAAAAAAGTGATAAAACAAGTAAACCTATGGTTGTTCTTTGGCATGGTATAGTGATATTTATTTACCATGCATAGTATTAAATTAAGGTTGGGTTACAATAACAGTTTATAAACACTTTAAGCAAAAAACCAGGAGAACAGATTAAAGGACCTTGGTTTGGCTGAAATGGTGCTGTGCGGCCAAAAGCATCTTGGCAACCAAAGACACTGCGGGCTGACAGTGTCCTAGCAACCAGTGACTTTATGGGTCAACAGCATCCTAGCAACCAGTGACAGAGGGGGTTGGCTGGGGGGTCCAAAATTGCTTGCCCGCAGTTTTCTTAGTTCAGAAATGGTGATATTTATTATTTGTCATAGACATATTGGAAAGGTGTTGCAAATAAGAACTTTGTTGCATGTGTCCTTTTATGAATTTGATTCAAAAGTTTTACAGCTTTAACGCCAGAATTGTGTTGCAAAGCCCACGGAATTTCCCCTGCGTTGTCAGAAGCACAGGAAGTGGTATTGTGAAATGGAGAAACAGATGCAATAATAACTGGATAGAGGTTGTAACCCATCCTACTATACCTAAAACTAAAAACCAAAAGTAAAGTGCTGTAGAACATTAATAAAATGCAGCAGACCCACAAGTGGTTGCAAACATATTCTTATTATAAAGTAGTATAAAAATCCGCAGACAAAGATTGCACTAAATGTTAAAGCACAGCACAGTTAGAAGTAGGGATGTTCAGATACCAAGTACCGTACTCGGTACAAGTACAAGTACAGATAATTTTCCAACTCCAGTACTAGACTAGAGAAAAATTCAAAATTTAGGAGGCAGCTGTCATTTTTAAGGAGCATACAGAGCTCCTGGGATTTGTACATTCCCATTTTAATGCATGCTTTTTAAAAAATAAATATTTAAAAGTGATGCACCGATATCATTTTTCCAAGTACAAATACTGATACTTGTCCAAGTACTTTCAGATACAAGTACCGATACATTTTTGTTTATTGTCATGTGACAGTTTTTATAAAACAATAAAGACTAATGATCTCAGGACAGTGGGGGAGCGCCAGAGCCAGGTCCCAATTGCAACCGCTGTGACCCTGGTAGTTTTCGTGAAAATGCCAAGTATCGGCACTGGTATCTGAACTGGTATCTGGACATCCCTAGTTAGAAGTGAATGACTTTTTTTTTCCCACTACTGTGCCCCAAAGTCTTTCTTTACTCTGTCCCTCTTGGGGAGTGTGCACTGTGTGGCCTCACGTCTGATCTTCAAGTGACATAAAGCCAAGCGCTATCTATTGAAATTCCAGAGAACGTTACCCCTGTCATTTAACACTCATGTAGGAGAAGCAGGGGAGTGGCTTGGAATATAGAGCTTCTGTGCAATTTTTGCATATCTCTGTCCAGGGCGCACACTTCAGGGTGGCTCCAGGGAGACCCTGCATGCTGTGGAGCCACCCAAAAGGAGGAAATGAGGATTACCACACTTCTAAAGGCTAATTTTAATGAAAAAACAGAATTGATGAAAAAAGGGGAATAGAAAGTAAAAAAGATTATGAGGTATGTTCATACATTATTTTTTTCCACAAGGGTTTAAAAATAAAATATCCAGCACATAGGCATTAAATAGGTTGAAGAAGAGATTAGGATTAGGTTAGACATCGATTGACACTGATGCAAAAAATAGATTGTATATTTATGTGGCTCAAAAAAGGATGGGGGGGGGGGGGC